ACAATATTTTTACCTCTTAGTAGCCTTTATTCTGATTTGATCTCTGCGCCTACTAATAATATCTTGTACACCCTTAAAAGTGCACATATAACGGCAATTGGAGGTAGTCCGACCTTTGTTGCTCTGAATTAGACACATGCAACAGCGGGGACTTAATTTGAAACTAGTTCGTATATATTTCTTCCCAACAGATTTGAGTTTCTAAGACTGGATCTGCAATATGGTAGACATTTTGCATTGTTTGCAAATTTATTTTTATCCCATGTGGTGACAAATACACACAGTATTTTTATGAAAGGTGGAGAAAGAGAACTGAAAGCCCATTTAACATGTAATTCCCCCTACACAAAACTGCAGAGTGCCTTCTAGCCTGCATGGTAAGGCAAAGAACTTTCATTAGGAATGGAAAGGCCCTAAAGCCGCTGGAGGAGGGACAGCAGAAGTCCACCTGCGGTGTTACGCTTAGTCGCGTTCACTGAGAAAAGGTTACTTTCCGTGTTGAGCCCAGCACATAGTGGGCAAAGAATGATGGGCTCATCAAGAAGGTGGAGCACCATTTTCACAAGAAGAACAGAAGGAGCTTGTGCTTAGCCTAATAAAATTAAGTCTGGGGGTATGTAATTCCTTGCTTCAAATGTATACTCAGAGAGTAAGCGCTAAGGTACTAGAGCTATGTAATCCATAGGCTAATGTTGGATTAATAACAAATGGGTATAAACTGCCTATGAAATGATGATGAAAAGTTAGAGGCAGGTTTTTCAAGAAATAAATTCAGGAATGGACTTTCAGTAGAGGCACTAGTAACAGAAAATCTGTCCGCTTCTCCATTGCAGCTGAAACATTTATGAAATACTTTGTGTGACACTACTGCTGCAATAAACAAAGGCTTCGCCTCAGTGACTTATGATACTTGTTCCAGTCCTGTGTAAATTTTAATGCTTTTTTAATTAAAAAAAAAATGTTTATTGATAGTAATTTTGACCCCTGTAGAAGAACTTTAGCGTGTGGACGGACAGAAATGGTTCAGAAAGTATTTATAAAGTTTGGTTATTATTTATTTAAGCCTTGATTTCCCTCAATGTGTTCTTTTATTTGTTGGATGAATATTAAAATGTTCCTGGGAATTAAATTAACTGTCATATAAACTGAAGTCCTGGCATATCAGGGCATTGTTTCCTGAGAATGTGAAAATGTATCTCAGCTCTGAGTGGAAGGAATCTCTAATGATGTTTAGATTGGAAGCTGCTGTTTAATTCCCTTTTGATCCTTGTGGAAACTGCTCAACAAGGCAGCAAAGTTCTGTGTTGTATACTTACCTGTTAACAGTTGGACTCATCCTGACAACTCAGTTTATGATATATTTGTGCTAAAAGAACTGCAGTAATGTGTATTTTTGCCCTTGTTGCTCACCTATACGTGAAACTTTGAAAGTTAAATTTTCTATCCAAATGTTATATTTATTTCTGTTTATCTTACTGTGGATTCGCTCATGAAAGCTGTTGAGGTTTCTTTCTCCTCCTCTTCTTTGCCTTCTGATCTTTTAAGACCATTGGCTTCATTGGGTGGGATAGAGAATTACCTTCTTAAGAGGTGACTTAAAATTTGCAAACAGGCATTTGACAAAAGTCAAGTGGATTGTATTCATACCCAACAAGCTTTATAATTTATTCTCTTTTAAACATTGAAGTGACAAAAATCAGGCTGCTTCATGAGATTATTTTAAAAGTACCTGATAATGGCCTGTTTCACTTCGCTTCTGTCAATAAGAATTTTACTGTTTGCTTTAATGAAATCAGATTTAAGGAAAATCCCTTCATCCAATGCAAATTTGTGTATATATACTTAAGGAGTTTTGTGACTTAAAAACAAATTTTTACTTCTCAGAAAGCTATGGGTCTATCCTCAGAAGTTAGCTCGATGGCACTGTTTCCTTCCCTCTTGTATCACCTGCTGCAAACTTCCAGGCTGTCAAGACACCTAGGGAAGTATATGGGAGGATTGTTCTTACTATATTTTAGCTTTGATCACCAAAAATAGAGGAAATACTATGACAGAACCTTTACCTCTATTTTTTTTGTAGCCTACTTTCTAAGTAGAAGAGGCTTACGGAAGTGTTGAATTTTTTCGTGGACACATAAACCACTATTAACTTAGATCCCTTTTTGTCATGCTGCCAGCAGTAGACACTAGTTGGCACATTGCTCCGGCAGCTTTTATCCTGTGATGGCTTTGTGCAGCATGCTGCTCTGTACATCTATTTATCCTGTTTTTAAGCAATTAACCTCTGTCATGAGTGTTTTGTTGGCATTTCCTCCCCATCTAAAACCAGAGTATGACTCCCCAGGTCTGAGGCATTTTTCCCGTCAGCTACGGAGAGCCCAGCGTGCGCAGTAATGCCGATGCTGGGGAGGCAGTGAACGAAAGCAGACGTACCTGCTTCGAGTTTGCATGCGACAGGAGCTGGAGGCCTCTGACACTGATAAAGGGGAGGCTGTGGGCGAAAACAGGAGATACAGAGGTCAGACGAGGCAGCTGGCCCAGGAGCACTGTCGCATCCTCCTGCACGCTGAGGCAGTAGCAAGTCATTACTCTCCGTCGCTGAGCCCATTTTAGCTGGTGGCCCGGTTGTTGAAGGGCCACTTCCTTAATGATTTGGCTCTCACTGCCGTGAACAGCCGCCAGTGAAAGGGCCACTGGGAGCAGCTTTCCTTGCAGTCATCTGTCTTATATTGTTTGATGCCTGTCAGTCAGCCCTCTGAAGCCAGAAGGGCTGGTGGGTCGCTTCACTAGCTAGGGTGATGTTCTTGCGTGCCATAGGAGGCCGTGGTGGAGGAGGAAGGTATGTATAGTGTCAGGGCTGAACATCAATCGTATCATACAGAAATATCCCAGGTGTTAATTGGACTGTTCAGAAATACCTTTGGTGTACGGATGTTCCAACTGATACTGTATGAAGGTATTTTGCTCTCTACAACTACCTGAAAGGGGGTTGTGACAAGGTGGGTGTTGGTCTCTTCTCCCAAGTGACTAGTGATAAGACAAGAGGAAATGGCCTCAGGTTACGCCAGGGGAGGTTTAGATTGGATATTAGGAAAAATTTCTTTACAGAGAGAGTGGTCAGGCATTGGAACAGGCTGCCCAGGGAGGTGGTGGAGTCACCATCACTGGTGGTGTTCAAAAAAACTTGTGGATGTGGCACTTTGAGACATGGTTTAGTGGACATGGTGGTGTTGGGTTGATGGTTGGACTTGATGATCTTGAAGGTATTTTCCAACCTTAATGATTCTGTGGTTCTGTGAAGAAGCAGGAAGGTGTTTCCAGAAGTTGGTTATAACCTCCCTGTGACCTGTCGGTTGGTGGGCTGTGTTTTACTCTGCGCTCGCAGCCTGCTTGCTGGGCCAGCTCTTGCAGAGTTACAGCTCTTGGGATCAAGGAAGGTTTTCCCTCAGGCATCTACCTGTCGCAAAGGCACCAAATCACCGATAGCAAGAATGAGCTTAACCAAAACAGGAACCAGGCTGGGTACGTAAGTCAGCCATAAGACAAAAGGGCCCACTTCTGCGTGGTAACTCCACTGCTTTTCTTTGGGTGGAACAGCGTGAATGTCTGTCCACAGACTGGAGCAAGAGCACGTGGTGTTACTGCGTTTGGTTACCGTTCAAAGCTGAACTCCTGGCCTTTCAGTCCAGATGGATTTATCGACAGTTTGTCTGTTGTGAGCGTACCTGATCACAAGTAAAAATCTTGGCTTCAGAAGTCATACGACTGCATGAGGTCCTCCTCGTCTTCCTCACCCTCTTCTCAGCTTATTTCTGAGCTGCTTGCATTCCTTAGGACCGAGTGGCTCTTCGGAAATGCTGAGGCTGGAAGGACTGTATCAGTGAAAACACACTGTTGTGGTATGTACGTCGTGGGGCTCACCTTGGCTTTCAGTCAGAACGGCTTACTTTTGGTACTATACCGTAGCAGGGTCCAAAGTGAGTGTGAGCGAATTCACCCACAGGGAAGAACAGTGCAGCGCCAGGCAATTGTTCCCCTTCTCATTTTCCCAACGTGAAGCTGCCTGACCAGAGAAACAGACGTGGGCTTCGTGCTACTGCCCTGAAGGCATATTCGTTGCTGGGGAGCTTTGAAAGACACTCTCAGGAGTAGCTGTTGGTTGGTGAGAGCACCTCGCTGCTGGAGGCCTGTCCTCCTGTGGCAAAGCTCAGAGGGTCACACCCCATGGCGGTTGAGAGCGGACGGTCAGGGACAGAACACGGCCTTGAGTTCGACCCATGTAACCAAAACCTGCAAACCATGAAGCGACTGGGGAGCTGGCGTTTACTTCCGTCTGGTAGCACTGTAACCATTGCAGCGTGTGGAAGATGCTTTTCTGTGGGCAGCAGGATGGGTATAACTCCTGGTGCTCCTGTGTAAGCACAGCATGTGGGGTGTTGTTGAGCCTTGCTTCTGGCTGACAGTAATACCATGTTCAGCGTGTAATTAAACAGCTCATAAACTGCCTTGAGATGTTTGTTTACGTGCACTCTACAGCAGAGAATTACTGTGTTTTTGGAGGATGCTGAAATTTCTGTCCTCAGTGAAGCATTTGTATTTGATGTTCAGTTCCCTTTTCCTTGGCAAAAACACTCAGCGACTGGGCCGCGTTATTTTGCTGGCAATGAAAAGCATACGGTTAGGAGATCTTCCCATGAACTTCTGTTACTGATTTTTTTGATTCTTACGTGTAAGTTAGGTATCGAGCTGCATGTGGAGGCATCTATATCAGTATCTCTTGCAAACTGATATTTTTAGATAACAAAATGAGTTTGCATTTTACTTGATAGAAACAACAAAGGCTTGTTTCCAGTTCCTTGGGGCAAAGCAGAAACACGTAGAAATTAGATCATGTGGTGAGGACACCATGTAAAAACTATCTCGGTGATATAGAAGATGCCACTGTAAGAGAGTGTTAGTAAATCTTTACTATACTGTATGCCATTTGTTTTGTCTTATAGTTTAGAGTGAATGAATTCGGGGCCCTGGAAGTGATTACAGATGAATCTGAAATGGAAAGTGTTAAAAAGGCAACTGCTACCACAACCTGGATGGTTCCAACGGCTCAAGAAGGTCAGTTAAGAAGCAGTAAACGTTTTCTGTCATAGACTGTTTTGTTTAATATATCAGTTTTTCTTAAAGATTGCCCCCCAAAAAAAAAAAACACCTTACTGCTTTAATGTACATATCTTTGATGATGTTACATGTTTCTTGGTTTGTGAATAAGTATGAAAATAAATGCATTTTAAGTTAAAAGGAAATAACTCCACTGTTAAACATATGAAGTTTAATCACAGCCCCAATTTTTTCTAACAGTAACTATTTCTAAGTTCAGAATCAGTGTTTTCCCTCTATTTAATTTGCAAAGTAGTCCATTTCTTACTTTAAAGTATTGAGAATTTTTTGCATTTTTTTTTGTTGAGCTGGTTCTGCAGCTTGCCCACAGACTTTACTGACAGCCTGCAGTTCATTTGTGACTGAAGTACCATGCACTGTAAAGTGCCTTCACATGACACTGGCTGCTGCTCAGCTTCTCCCACTGATGTAAATGTATGTCTGCACTGTTGCCTTGCTCCTGCTGACTGTGCTTTTTTTCAGTATTAAAATTAGCATGTAGTAACCATTTATGTTTATCTTGAATTATAAAATTCTAATAGTTGTAGTATCTGTCTACGAAATGAGTTGTTTCCTGGATTTAAAATACTCATGTAAGGAAGCACCTTTTTTGTTCAAGGAAAGTTGGCTTACATGGTCATAAATTCTGAAAATCTGACTCCAGAAATGTCAGTAGCATGAAAGAGAGTATCACAACTGGTTTTGCAATTACTTACAACTACCTAGGTTTTTCTCCTTATTGATATTATACTTTATCAAGGTATGCATTCTGTAAGTCCTTTGAAAAGCAGACTTCAGAATTTTGGTTTAATAATCATCATTATAAGCATGATAAGCAAAGTCAGTGAAAGTTTTTCTTTGCTACTCCCCCACCATTAAGTCTTAATTGTCATGTTACTCTTGTGAATAGGTGAAACATTTACACCAGTGGGAAAAGTAGTTTGGGCCTCAGCTGTGAGGTCTGAAGCTTCAGACAGCAGCTACTCTGTTCTGTAGGTCTGTCTCCAAGGCAGTGACAGGTATTCAAGATTCAAATATGTGATCAGAGTGGCAACAGTGTGACAGCACAACAGGTTCTCTCCTTAGACTGAGAGATCACGGTTATCTACAGTAAAGCATACAACTTCATTCCCTGCGGTCTGGTAGACCTAAAAAAAGTAATATTGCTACTGAATTAAAGTGTGCTTATGGACACAAAAACATACCAAGTAAGCATCCTACTGCTACCTTACACTGCCCTGGATTGATTTAATGCTCCCCAAAGATAAAAATATTGCTAAAATTTTCCATTGTGAGAGGATATAGTTGTTTTAAATCACTAATGATGCTGGAGTGTAAATATAACATGTAAATTATATATTCTTCTCGTGGAGATAGACTGCATACAAGAGTTCATTTGACTCTGCTTTCAAAGGCAGTACAGTGCTCAAGCAAAAGAAAGAGTTTGTGACTTGAAATTTACCTTTTGAGGGGGTGAAAAGTCAACGACCTTCGCTAGAAGCTGGAGAATCTGACAGTGCTTCATACTTGCCTATGAGTTAAAGGAACGGCATCTTCTCCTAGACTACACACCTCTTGTGGGACAATTGTAGTTTGTGTAGGATGAGTGAGTAACTTAGTATTTGAAAATTTCCTTGTTACAAATTAGTGATTTTTTTTTTTTTTTTTTTAATTCTGGTAGGCTTCAGGCAGGTTGAGCCATAGCTATTGCTATGACAGACTGTAAAATGTAGTCAGTGATTTACTTCTAGAAATAAGTTCATCTATTGAAAGATAACTCCCCCCCCCAACCCTTTTTCCCAAATGACCCTATATATAGGTCAAAAATGAGGCACGTCAGCAGGAGATGCAGTGATGGACTCCATGCAGTGATGACTCTGTGGGCAGTCAGCATGGTGCCTGTCACAAAATTCACTCCTGCACGAGTAACCACATCAAGCAGTGTCGATGTTCCACTGATGACAGAAGCATGAAATTGGTGGATTTGTCTGTCTTGTGTTGCAAATTACAAAAACCCAACTTCTTGTCAGGAATATGGACCCTATACAGACACTAACTCACAGTTCTTCATTCTAACAAGATGGGTGTGACTCTGTTCTTCTGTTTGCTTAGCAAGGCCTAATGAGGATGTTTGGAAATGTATCACCTCTACCTAAGTGAAGTTACTTTTTTTCATTGTGCAGCCTTTTCAGAAAAAACAGGGATCCCCACAAGGTTGAAGGAAACTGCAAAAATGGATGGACTTGTTTTCTGTGAAAACTGTTACCGCTATGGTACCATAGAAGAATTTGTTCCTGAAGGGAAATTTTGCAGCCAGAAATGTGCCCAGCAAGTAAAAAACAAGTAGGTGCTATTATAAAGCATAGAAACAAAGAATTTGGCATAAATGCAGCGTAAGATAGAAGTGGTGGGATAAAACGTTAACGGTGGGGCAAAGGAGATATAAGAAGCCATGTTTTGCTGAGTCTCCATTGGTTTATAATATTCTTTCACTGTTTTTCATGTAAATAGGTTAACAACGTTTGGTTTTGTCTAACACTGATGTTGAAGGCAGTCTTTTTTGCTCAGTGTGCTGCGTTCTGCTGTCAGATGCGAGTGGTAAAACAGTCTGTGGGATGCATGAATCAGTGTCAGACTCCCACCCTGTTTCATAATCATTGGAATTAAGATAATCAGTAATGAGATGGTTGGTGTGGTAAGTTAAATTATAATTAAGTGCAAGAGCTTTGTTATAGATAACAGTGAGTGAAAACATGAGCATACTGTAGTTTCTCAATTCCTTTTCTTTTAGCTAGTGCAGTTCATCTCATCATAAAAGGTTTGTGTTAGTTTGTCCATTCTGTATTGAGTATTACTGCATTATGGCAGTTTTTAACATCTATGATTTTGTGCATTTTCCTTCATTTTTAGCTAATTGCTTCAGAGTTTTCTGTTCTGATTGCTTTTTTAGCAATTTGTACAGTCTAATACTAGCTTTCTCCAATTTCAGTCTTAAGAATTACCTTTGCTTTCCTTTCTGTAAACTCCCCTGCGGTCCTAAACATTTCACAGTTTGCATCCCCGTAAGATTTGATGGTATATGGGAAAAGCCACACTGTTTAAAATGTACAGAACTTGTTCAGCGTAAGCTGACAGCTTTACTTTTGCAGTTGCTATTGTGTGTCTTTCAGATTAATTCTTTTGACATATGTACTTTTCAGTAGTATTTCTAAGAATATATTTGCTATAATACCCTGGGACCTACAAACACTTGACCTTCAGATTTACTCACTTTTTTTATGAATATGAGAAGTGAAATAATATTGGCTTTGTGTCATTGTGTTACTCTTGTAATAGAGAACCAAAGGAGGAAAAGCCCAGCGTGGAATGCAATGGCGAAGATGATTCCAAAGGCATTCGGAAAAGAAAAGCAAAGTTACCTCTCAAAGAAGAGTCCAGGGATGATGGGGAGAAGAGAGAGAATTCTGATGAAACTGTTAGTATGCATCATAAACCCATACCCGCAAGTATTTTGGTGGGAGTTTTGCCTTATATCGCAATGTCAGTAACTTCATTAGTCTACAAAGGGAAGTGACACAGAGACACAATAATTCACTTACTGGTTTAATTATGCCTCATTAGTAAATTGTATTTATTGACAATGAACTGATAACAGCTGTTTTTATCTCTTTTCCCTCCTTCTTTAAGAACAGGACAAAAAGAATTTAAATGATAGTAACCTAGACTTGCAATGTCTTCAGAGTAGAAAAATAGAAGTACATATTTCCCAGTGCTTTGTCATTCTGCACATAAATAAATTACTATAGACCAATAATTTATTTACAAAGAAAGCTACATTACAGTTAAGAAGAGAATAGTTTTGATTTTCTTAATGTAATTTGCATTAGAAAATCATAGCTAAAGGTCGGGTTTTGTTTTGTGTTGCAGCGTAATGTGTTTTGGGGCACCTTTTGGTTTTTTTCCTTTTGGATTTATTCCTCGTTTTAGAACAAACTTATCACAGTATCTTCCCATAATGTTTGTTTTCCTGTAATACTTGTTTTCTTCCCAATAGCTGTGACACTGCTGGGAGGAGCACAGTTTTGAGGGAGAAGGGGAGAGCTCTGCAACTGCCAAATTGTCAAAAGGCTGAAGACACTAGAGTTGTCAGAAGGGAATTCTAGCTCTCTGTCTAGCAGTATCTTAGGCAAAAGTTAGGGGACACCTTCTTTGCCTCCATGTATCTGCCCTCCCAAATGAGTACTTATTTTGTTCCTCTAGTCAGGTGCTAACAAAGATGTTAATACACAGTGAGATAAATAAAAAAGAACAGTGCCATTTTATATTTAGTAAAAAATGGGTAAATCTGAAAAAAGCGGACTAAAGCTGTGAGAGGTTTTCCTTTAAATTATTTTGGAAGCATGAACATATCAAAGATACTGCTATTTATCTCCAGCTCAGCGAGGCCTGCTGAAGGCTTTGTGATCTGTCCCTGGCTTAGTTAGACAAGGCTGGCTGGCTGAGTGCTGGGTGTTGAGAGTCCTTCTGTTTGTCATTGTCACCATGTTTGCTGTGATTTGTCACTGATGGCTTGCTTTGTTTTTATTGGAAGTCCGCAGGTTTGCTTGAGATAGTGGAGTGCTATGTCAGTAGCTATTTAAATGACATCACAGTTAAACCTTGGGTGTCTCCAGTTTTACTGTACTAGACTTCTGAACTAATGAGGTTACTGTACTCTTTTTTTTTTTTTTTTAATTTAGGAGGACAAGCCTGAAGGAAGGATCTTGAGAGTCTCACAGAGAGCCAGGAGAAAAAGAAAAGGGGAAATAACAGTTTTGAAACAAAGTAAGTTAGATTATGAAGCAAAAATATCAACTATCAGTTCAGATGGGTATCAGGTAATACCCATCTCTTATTGTGAATTGCTAGCACTGTTTCACTGCATTTGTATTCCCTATTGAATATGTTTTTTCAATTCTGTAAAAAGAGAGTGCCAGTGTTATTTATAGCAATTAAGTTTTGAGAGCACCAAGTGAAAACTGGGAAAAAAACCCATCACTTGGAGATTGATTACCTTATACAAAGAGCCAGTTTATATATGTCTGGCAGTGTGGAGGAGGATAAAGTGAGTGTAAATGTCATTGATGCACATTTTAGGGATTTTATTCATCTCTATAAAGAGCGCTGGTATTAAAGGGAATCAGGCCCATTGAGTTCCCAGATGTTGAAAGACATGTATGAAGCAGAAGTGAAAGTTTACTTTTGTTTCCTTGGGGATCAGTTTTCTACCTACAGTATATGCTGGAAATAGACACATTTATGGAACTATTTAGGAATAATTGCTATAATCAGTCCAAAGGGACATATGATGCATCAAGCAGCATAATAAAACATATTTTAAATGAGTGCTGTTTTTTCAAGCTATTTGTATGATAGATACTTTTAGGAAGAATTGGAGAATCAGCAGCTATTATACCTCAGTGGTAAACCAAGCACAAACCTACATCTTGCCCTTCAAAGTGTTTCTTACGGTAGACTGGGAGCCATTACCAGCAGTTGCTGGGCCACTAATCAGCACAGAGCTCCAAGTAGGTCTGCTGCACACTAGGCAGATGAAATACTGATTGAAGATACAACACATAAAAAGTTATGGAATATCCGCCTCTGGAGATAGAATTACTCCTGAAATATAAATATTATTTCTACAGTTGTTTCCAAAGCTGAGATGATAAGAAGTATGTGAGATACAAGCACAAAGCTGACGCTCTATGGAAATCACTGCTGTCCACTGACAAAATGATCTGTACAGATTTCTTCTGTTTTTTTTATTTGGGAAAATGTCAGTTCCATCACAAGAGATTTGCTATGAAAGACCACTTTAAATTCAGAACCAAGCACATAACTGCGTATTACTGTGCTGAGCAACACATCTCTTAAATGGAATAGATAAAACCTGGGTAAATCACAAAGAAAATGAATGTGCTTTAATAGCGTTCTAAAATTTGTTACTTTTGGTTGCATTAGCTTTCTTCAAGAGAGTTTGGCATCGCTATTGTTATGGGTCACGTTTTAATCATAAAAATGCTTAGCCAGACTGTTACTTAAAGGACTTATTTCTCTTGTGAGTAATCCACAATCAGGATCAGGCCAGAATCATACTCTGGACTGTGAGAAATCCTCCTGGCAGCATGAGCTTATGGTCTGAAATGCTAGCTGCATGTACAGAGGGAGGCATGGTGGTGCTGGACTAATGGTTGGACTTGATGATCTTGAAGGTCCTTTCCAACCTAGTGATTCTGTGATTCTGTGAAGATCAGTAGAGCAGAGTGGAGGTGTATGAAAGTAGATACATACATGGCCAGCCTCACAAGCCATCTGTTTTTGAAGTTCCTGGCTTTTGCTTGTGCAGTTAGTGCCTTATTTTCAAGGCCTAAAAACTGCTACTCACTGATGTGACTGTAGCCAATATTAAGATGGACTATAGCCATTATTACAATTACTAATGCAAGTGTATGTGAGTGTTCATATTATATGAGCAAACCTGAAATTGCACATTTCTGTCATATGCTAATGACATGATGGGGGAAAAGAGCACTGGTGACAGTTTTGATGGCTTGGAGAAATTACTGCTACATCACTGCCTCTCAACCCAAAACCATCAAACTACAAAGTGATGGAGTAGGTTAGAAACATTCTGAATACTGTCAAAAAATAAAGTATTTCAACTGTGATGAAAAAATCGTGTCATGAGTGCTATCCATTTGAAAATGCTTTCCAGGAAAAGATATTCTCAGGAAGAAAAAAAAATTGAGCTACTTTGTGGTTTGAACTGATCTTTTTTACTCATTTGCAAATTGTATATCTTAATGCTTCTTGTGAGCGATAAGGGAAAAGGGACAGGGGGCAAGACTTTGTAAGTTGTTCTTCTTACCTGAAAGAGCTCTTTCTTGTTACTAATCAAGATTTGAACTGCTGGAAACCTTTCTATACAAACCAGGAACCTTCATGTTCCTGGTGCCATTAAACCTACAAAGCTATTTCTTTTCCTGAAATAAATCCTGAGAAACACCATGAATTCATTTAATAAAATAGATTTGAGACAGGTGTATTATAAACTTCGAAGTGCTGCTTTGGTTTTTTTCTTGAGAAACTAACAGTTACAGAATTCTTTTGCTATTGTGTGTGTCTTTACAGCTGTACCCTCTAAAGGAAGGCAAGCATGGTGTTGGGCATCCTATCTGGAGGAAGAAAAGGCCGTGGCAGTACCTACTAAGCTTTTTAAAGAGGTATGACCTTCTGAAGTTTAAATCAGTCAACCACCTAAGATAATGAAATTTCTAGGAAATCAATTAAAAAAATTTTGAATATTTGCACCTCTCTGGGGGAAAACCTACATCATTAAAATAATGCTGTCCATCAGCAGCCGTCAAGATAGTCAGAACATGTGAAATCAGTTATCTTTCTCTGCTTTTTCAGAGAATTCTGTAGTTTTAGATGAATGCTGTCAACTGAGACTATGGAAAACAGATGCCTTTCCTTCTAATCTCTGAAGCTAAAAATCTGATACATACCCTCATTTTTTCATGCCATATCATTCTTTTTAAATAGGTTTGGAAAGGTGGTACAAAGGTCATCTTTTTGTTTGTTGCTTTGATTATATTGCCTGTCTTTGCAGCCCCTGCTGACCTTATCTTTTGTTACTACATCAGATACGAGTTTGGCTTGTTCCCATTTTGCCCATCATCTGATGGGATGTCACATCATCATCTCTTGCTTGTCCTTTGCCTGCTATGGTAGTCTTTGTTATTTGCCATTCCAGTGCTTTCTCTAGTGCCGTCTCCCTTGCTTCGAAGAGAGCTCTGTATGCAAATCCACAAAGCTTCTATGCTGTTCTCTTCTCTTGCAAAACCTGGCAAAATATGTAAACATGTCTCAGCTGCTGTAGTTCTGTAGTATTAGTTTTTGATAATTCTATTCTTACTTGTAGTCTGTTTCCTGCATCAATTTCTTTCTGGTTGCTTTTGTCCTTGTTTCAGCCAGGATAGAGTTAATTTTCTTCACAGAAGCTAGTGTGAGGCTATGGTTTGGGTTTGGGATGAGAAAATGTTGATAACGTGCTGATGTTTTGAGCTGTTGCTGGGCAGTCAAGGACAGTCCAGCTTCTCGTGCTGGCCTGCCAGCAAAAGGCTGGGGGTGCCCGGGGAGCTGGGAGGGGACACAGCCGGGACAGCTGGCCCAGGCTGGCCAGAGATATTCCATACCATATGACGTCATGCTCGGTATATAAAGCTGGGATGAAGAAGAAGGAAGGGGTGGAGGAACGTTGGGAGTGATGGCATCTGTCTTCCCAAGAAACCATTACACATGATGCAGCCCTACTTCCCTGGGGATGGCTGAACACCTGCCTGCCCGTGGGGAGTGGTGAATGAATTCCTTGTTCTGCTTTGCTTGTGTGCGCGGCTTTTGCTTTACCTATTAAACTGTCTTTATCTCAAACCATGAGTTTCCTCACTTTTACTCCTCTGATCCCCCGTCCCACTGTGGGGGAGTGAGTGAGCAGCTGCATGGTGCTTGGTTGCCGGCTGGGGCTAAACCATGACAGCTTTATACTTAAACTATTAAATCTTTTGTGCAGGGATTAGCTTTTCATCTGAAATGTGCGTGTGATGCTGACCTTTAATTGGCGCTTTTAGATGTTACTGAGGTACAAAAGAACTAAGATTGCAATGTACAGAATCCATAGATTTGTAGGTGCCAAGAACAGTAGTTACCTGACCATCCTTAGTTATATCCCCCTGTGCTATATACTGGCTGAAAAATTAACAAGAACAAAATCTGGAGAAATAGTGTCTCTATCGGGAAGGTAGACTTACAAAGCGTTGCTTTGCCTGTCTGAAGTTCCATGGAATGCTCTTGTGGCACACGGGCATATACCAGCCCTTCTGGGCACTGCACATGGTGGTAAAGTCTGGAGTTACGTGATGATGTAGCGTTTCCTTTATTTTTCTCCACAGTGTGACTTTCTCATTCAGTGCATCTTATTTAATATTTTCTTTTTGTCTTACATTTTTGTCTTACATAAGTCTTTAACCCCTGAGTAACTCTAGGGTTTTATTTTGTGTGCAGTATTTAAAGCCTGTAGCAGAGAGAGAATTCTTAATAATAACACTCAGAAGTGGCCAGGTAATATTTCTCCATTTTAAAGATGGACAAGCAAGCCACAAGAACAGTAAGGTTAAAAAACCCCCAAACAAATATCACCACCAATTTTGAATTCTTGATTTCTGTTTGTGATGGTGAGAATTACTCTTTTTATCTCTTATTTTTCCAGCTCGGAAGCAGTACTTTTCACAGTGTTTTTTCATACCCTTAGTTAGGAATGGTCAGGATAATGGAGAGTCCTTGCCACTTCCTGGTACTTAAATCTTAGAGTAATTTCTAGGCTGTGACTGATAAGCTGTTAATGGTCCAGTAAAACAAAATTATTGACCCTTGAATTTTGGTATTTTCAATCTCCAACTCCCCTGAGGTAATCTTTTGGGTTTCATGTATGTTCTTGCACCATACATAAACATTTCTAATCGTCAGTCTGCCATTTGCTTCTTTGCTGACTCCTTTTACCTTAGTCTTATTTTGTTCTTCTATCTGTCCTTTACAAAGTGTCTTTAAATGTTTGTTGTAAAAGTAATATGTGATTTCTAAACTTGTCGTAGCTTTACCTTGGGTGATATATTGAGAATAATGCACAAAATTGAAATCTGTTAACTAGTATTAAAGTTACTAGTCTTCTAAAAATTGCCTATTATTTTGCTAAAACAGAAATCAAACTAAAGGTTATATTGCCTTCGAAGTTTTAGGTTTGACAATGGGAAGAACAGTGAATAATTCATGTCTCGGATTTCAGAGAATACCTGTGTGGTTATTGCTTAATTTTTAGTGTATTGTTTGTAGAATTTTTTATTGTTTGTGCAGTAATGTTCATTATAATAATAAAAGAATAAACATATCTGTGTCTTTTTAATTGTTTCCTTTCTTTGTAATTTTATTTGTGCTTGCTTTTGAAAAATCTGTTACATTTTTGGCCACTGTTCCTCAGTGTGTCAGCATTTCTAGCATTTCCGTTTTCCACTGAGGTTTTTTATCTGTAGGGTATTTATGATACAGATGGCATTAACTGCACGTCTGTGCACCAAGATGAACGTTAAAAATTTCAGTTTATTGATAAATGCTCTGCTTTTGCATTCCTCCTGAGGAAATATCTACGACTATGCACAGTGCAACTTCATTAAACTTTCATTGATAATAAGGATGTTAAGTGATGTAATGTTAGGATGAAATAACTTTTAAAATGCATGTACTGCAGTAAGAGACTTCGATCCTTTAACTGACATCTACAAAATGGTCTAAGCTAGTTTTAGGTAGGGACTTAGAGCTGTGTTTAGACATCTGTTAGCTGGCCACTTCAGGCTGCTTTAAACTGGTCTGGTTCTCCATTTCACTTCCCCTTGACAGCATATTCCTGCTCTCGTGCCATGCGTTTTTTCTCCTGGGTTTGTTATGCAGTTATATCAGTTGCAGCCAAAGCCACCAAAGAGAGGATTCCCATTCTTCATAGTAGGTGGGACCGCTCTGAGTACCTCCTTTGGTACCCTTCTCTTCCCATTGACTGCAGAGGTACTGCAGATGGCTAGGGAGCACGTGAAGCTTCTAGAGAGGAACAGAAGGACGGGGGAGCATACAAGATGCTTCTCCTGTGTGTCTGTAACCATTTGGGACATAAAATATGTCTGCTTCTGAATCTGTTAAACCATGAAAAACCCTCTTCAGTTTTAGTCAGTTATTTTTCTGATATTCCCTCCAATTTAACCTTAGTATCTGCTAGCTTCCTTCCTTCTTTAACAGAGGGCAGGGAACATGATACATGGGATGCTGATACCTTCTAATTGAAAACATCCGTTCTGCTTAGCCTTGTTTTCACTTTCTGTTTTTTGAAAGATGTTCTTTTGGGTTTGTTGTAATGTTATGTAAGGGTAGTCATGTTCCTGTGATGCAAAAATATTCCTGGAAAACCAGCTAATCTGGACTCGACATATAAATGAAGAAAATTACATCAGAGGCCATCCCTATATACAAACAATGCTTTGTATTTCTGCCTTCCAGTTCATCTTTGATGGCCTGCAAAACAGAGCATCGTTGTTGTGGTTATTACAGGAATGATGACCACCAGGAAGGTGTCAAGGTGTCACTGTACAGGCTGAAAAATAAATAATTACATTATTAAAATGTCTTACTGACAATTAGTGAAAGAAGTTGAGGACAAATCATGTCATCTTCTTTCCCCTTGATTAACTTTTTTGGTAATTCTTTATGATTTTCTTACATACTCTGAAGTTTTAAGTCATTCTAAGTATCAATGTGTTTTTTGAACAATCATCAGTTTCTGTTCCGTGCTGTATGTTTTTAAAAATGCAAAACTTATTTTAAAGCGATTTATTAGTTCTTTCAGAAACATGAATACTAAATAATCATTGTTCTTTTCCATACAAAGATCTTCTGTCTTCTCTGGTATACTTTCAGAAGTATTGAAAATGTTCTTTTCCATTGCAGTATCAGTCTTTCCCATACAACAAAAATGGATTCAAAGTAGGGATGAAGCTGGAGGGTGTGGATCCTGAGCACCAGTCGATATACTGTGTTCTCACGGTGGCTGAGGTAAGGAGAGTCCGCGAGCAGCCGTGGGGCGGGATTGCAGGAGAGATGAACTGAAACAGCAGCAGCTGAAAGTGCTTGCTTTTCCCTAACAAGCAGAAAGAAACTGTATGTAGGAAGATGGCTTTTAAATTAATAATGCTGTATTAAATCTACCTGACAGACATATATCCAGTGCCATGCAGCAGTGACTATTTACATATATTTAACATATGCAGCTAGAGAAAACAGTATTACACTAGTTGGATGATGTTTTTTCTGTAATTTTGTAGTTTAAATCTATATTTAAAAGGGAAAATAAGTAGAAAAAAACTAAGCATGGCAAGTGATATATTGCAGTTTTATAGAAGTTTGATAGTACTTGCAGTTGCTCCATTCACTGATACAATTACCTAACACTTTTCTGTGTTGCAGTTGTGCTACAGTTTTTTCAGTCTGGTGGCCTCAGAAATTGCCTGTATTGTCAATTTCTACAAGTTAGTATACAGTATAAACTCAGTTTGTCTTTTTGCTGTAGTTTATGAAATAGTTTTTCTGATGAGTAGCTTCTTTGCTTTTAATAGTATAAATTAGAACCTGTTTCTCAGGTACATTTTGTATGTCTTTCAAACATATGTTACATTACATTAATTTTTACGTGGTCTCACTGATGATCCTTTTTGTGTTTGGTTTTGTGAGTTAAAATGGGGAAACAGGTAATAGGTAGGTACTCTGCTCTGTATCACTGGTATTGTAGGCAGCTGTAATTTTGCAGCTTATATTTTAATAGCTTAGGTTTTTGTGTTACCATTTCTGGATCTCTTCACAGCCCATAATCATATCCCATTTCTGTGGATATCTCTATCTCTTCCATTTTCGTGGGGATGGTGTGTCAGTGGCTATTTCCTTTGTGCATTGTGCTTAGCACTAAGTTACGGGCCATGTTTTACTGCAGGATGACCTGAATTCCACAGAATTCTGAGATGGCAAACTGAAAGTTATGTCAGAGTATAAATTAAACATAAAACGGGGTGACCTTCATGTCAAGAGATTTTCACTGATGAATGCAGGAAATTTGCATTTGGCACTCGCAAAGATGTGGAGAACTTTGGTACAGAGAGGGGGATTGTGTCCAGTTTTTCTCTTCCTCTCAGTGGTTAACTTATTACTTCATGGAATAATGAAATCCTGGGGCATACCTCCACTGACTTCTCATCTTTAATAGCAGTTCTCAGTATCTCTCTGCAGAGCCTGTTGAACATAGTTATTGAATGCTCTCTTGCATATTGATTAATCGAGATAGCTTAAAAGCATCATTATCTGCGCTTTGTCTGTGATTGTATCAGATGTATTCATGCTCTTCTGTAGGGTTTCTGTTTTATTCTGATGTTGGGTTGAACAGTTTTCAAGTTTTTGAACACTAATGGCAATATCCAGCTTTTAGTTAATTCTTTCCACCAGAAGAGGAGGCACTCAGGCTGAGAATAGCTTTGATTTTTTATTCTTTCCTTTTTATCAAATGAATTTATTCAACCAGTGTTGGCCTGAGCAGAAGTGAAACGCTGACTGAAAACACACTGATATTATATATAATACTGAACAGAAGCTGTTATGTGTAGGGCAAACATCTTAAAACATAGTGTTGCACATTCTTGCTTTTAGGTTTGTGGCTACAGAATACGGCTCCATTTTGATGGATACCCAGATTGTTACGATTTCTGGGTGAACGCTGATTCTTCAGACATTCATCCTGTTGGATGGTGTGAGAAAACAGGTCACAAGCTTCATCCACCTAAAGGTACTGTTTAGTTTGAAATATGTGCATTTTCCATAGCTCTGAGATTGAGATTATCTGTGTAATGCTGTACTTATTTTTTTAGCAGAAGCTTTTTACTTCATTTAGTCTTGAGGTTGAAATCCTACCTTTTTTATTCAGTGGAAATTTGGAGAAAACAAGAAAATAAAATGAACCATAGGAGTAATTCATAAGGTGTTAGGAACGAGAGTTAAGCAAGAGGTGGTGGAGTCACCATCACTGGCGGTGTTCAAAAAACGTGTGGATGTGGCACTTCAGGACATGGTTTAGTGGGCCTGGTGGTGTTGGGTTGATGGTTGGACGTGATGATCTTAAAGGTCTTTTCCAACCTTAATGATTCTGTGATTCTGTGAACAAACCTACACCCCAAATGAATGCTTATTGCAAGTAAAATGGCAGCATACTGGTGACGTGTGCTTAAACTGAGGTCTCGGAGGCAGCTGACAATCCTTTAGTGGAAGGTCTTAGTATATTTTCATTACTTGATACTGATCACCATTATTGTACATGTGTTGACACAAACTAAAAAAGATTGTGCTCTTGCCACAAAGTAAGCTTGAAATAGAGACAAAAGAGGAATGAACAGATAAGGAGGGAGAAAAAAGGGTAAGATTACAAGCCTGAAAGCATAATTTGCACACAGTTTATATAAAAGATGTACATGTGTTGAAATATGTGTAATTTGCTTGCTTAATTATTCTATTTCAGATTATGTAACTCCTTTATTTTGGCAGATGGAGTACATCTGCACTGAACTGTACCATAAAAAAAGGAATAAATGGGCTCCCTTTTGGGCTAGGGAGGGAATATGTGGGGATGAAGGGAGTAAGTCTTGAATACAGGAGAGTGAGAAATAAATTTATGTGGTGTTTTGACATGCAGAGTGAGGGTATATCATAGAATCACAGAATCTTTGGGTTGCAAGGCACCTTTAAAGGCCATCTAGTCCAAGCCCCTTGCAATGAGCAGGACATCTTCAACTACATCAGGTTGCTCAGAGCCCCGTCCAACCTGACCTGGAATGTTTCCAGGGATGGGGCATCTACCACCTCTCTGGGCAACCTGGGCCAGTGTTTCACCACCCTCTCTGTGAAAAATTTCTTCCTTCTATCTAGTCTATATCTGCCCTCTTTTAGTTTAAAACCATCACCCCTTGTCCTATCGCAATAGACCCTGCTAAAAAGTCTGTTCCCATCTTTCTTATAAGCCCCCTGTAATTACCGAGAGGTTGCAGGAAGGTGTCCCTGCAGCCTTTTCTTCTGCAGGCTGAACAACCCCAACTTTCTCAGCCGGTCCTCACAGGAGAGGTGCTCCATCCCTCTGATCATTTTTGTGGCCCTCCTCTGGACCCTCTCCAACAGGTCCATGTCTTCCCTGTGCTGAGGGCTCTAGAGCTGGATGCAGGACTCCAGGTGGGGTCTCACCAGAGCGGAGTAGAGGGGCAGAATCACCTCCCTCAACCTGCTGGCCACGCTGCTTTTGATGCAGGGTAGGATAATGTGGTTTTGAAAGGCTGCAAAATGATGAGTGTACAGACTCAAGACAATGCATTATGGAGAATTACAAAACTGTGAATGTAACTGCTGGGGTGTGGAAGGTAAAGCTACTGAAAGTAAATAGGCAGAGGGCCTGTCCGTGTGGGAGGTGGTGGCATTTCTGCAGCTGAGCCTTGGAGGAGTATTGAAGGAGCATGTGCTGCTCTTGCGAGCACTCTGCAAGCTCCACTCTGGCTTCAGGCAGGAGTGCTCTGTGCTGCCACTCCAGTACGGGAGTTTTCATTAGGCATAGTTCTGCATAACTGGCTGTGCAGAAATACCAGTTTCTTGTACATAAATGAGAATTTCTCAAAAGGTTGGCCTCCACTGAAGTAATAAGTTACGTGTAGCGAATGAGTAGTCCCCAGTTATAGAGATATTGATGTTACTACAGTATGCTTAGTAAGTTTTATATCTGTGATGAAGATTTGTCATCTTTTCCATCTTAAATGCCTGGTTTAGAAAGCTTAAGCTTTTCTTAACAATGAATTATCGCTGCTGGAGGAAAGTTACTGTCTGTCTCTGAGTCACTGTCATTAAAAGTTTCTTCAGTTTCTCTTCTAGTTTTAAGTTGGTTCTTAAGACTGTTCTTTTGTGTTTACTTTTTTTCATCATACTGAAGCAGTGGATAGGCTCTGTGACTTTCCCAAGTAAAAGACCTATCAGAGGTGTTGAGGGAGACAAGTTAGGAGGATGGTAATTCTCAGGGTTCTGATTGTCATCCTGCACAGCTATGTATTCCTACCATCCCCAAAACATATTCTTGATTTTGAATAGCAAGGCTGTTCTCTGGTATTTTTATCCAAGACCTGCAAAGTGCTCTAGCCTTTGCATGGCTTGGCTCTGTCACTTCACCTCAGTGGTAAACCATTTCATCACTGATGAGGTATGGTGTGATTGCTGAAACTTGCTCTTATACTGTGGGACTTCTTCCGTTGTCCCAGTGCAAGCCTAGCTTTGATGCGGAATGGAAGAGGAACGGGAAAGAACAAGCAGTATGGTAGTCATGCATTGGAAGGAGGCTGAGGGCAAACAGCAGTTCATCAGTTAAACTTATTTTGTCTAGTTTTTCAGACTTACATTTTTCTGATATTTTTATGTGCATTTTTATTGGGTTGGACAGATTGCTCATATTTTGCTGTGGTATGACATTTTAGTAATGATTTCTTTTTAGTCTTCATTGCAAATCATACAGATGCTAAAGCTGATACCACTAATGACATAGAGCACAGTATCTTACATAAAATACCACCTCACAGAAGAACTCAAAAGTTTGCATTAGTAGTCATCTGTTTTCGAGATAAGTGCAAACTTAGGACCTTTATGGTCTAAACCATAAACTGTTTGGAACCTGGTGGCCTGAGAAAGGCACAGATACTCCTGCCGCCTTTCTGTGTAGTGCAGCCCTGGTTGATTGTTCCTGCAAGCTTGGGCAGAAATGTCCTGCTTCGCAGGCAGGGGTTGTAAGGCGGGTATGCTCCAGGGGCATTTTGGGGCCCAGCAACTGACTCCTTGTTTTCTGAGAAGGTTGAAACTGGGTAACTTTCCAAACAGGCCTAAGTTGATCGTTCCTTGTGAGGGATGGGAGGCTATTTATTGCGATGGGAGAAGACTGGGGGGGGACGACACGTGAAAGGAAGGATATTGTTATAGATGTTTTCTGATACACATATGTATCCTTGTTTATTAAAACAGAAGAGGCAGGCAATTCTTCGTTCCTCCGGGCAGGACAGGCCTCGTGGCAGGGGGGGTCCCCCCCCC